TTAAACCATACAGACTCTTGAGCAAATGGCACACATCGTCATCGTCGCCCTCCTCCAAGCCGTCCGGTCGTACCATGTAGATAGTCTCCTGCAGTGGGCCGTAAAGAAAGGTCTTAACATCAAACTGCATGGCTGTCCACCCCCTCTGCACACCATAGTAGATCGACGCACGAATCGTTTCGAAACGAATGACCGGTGCATACGTCTCGTGGAAATTCACTCCATACATTTGCTTGTGGCCGTGTATCACCAAGCGCGCCTTGTAGCGCTTGATGTTGCCATGTTCATCCCTCTTTATAGCAAACACCCAACGGTAGGTAATGACCTTGGCCTTGCCAGCACATGCACGCGGCATAAGACGCCAGGTCCGATGCTTCTTTAGAGACGCCAGCTCCTCCTGAATAGCTTTGCGCCACTCCGGCCACTCACGGCTTGCCTTGGCCTGTCGGTAATTCTGCGGCAACTGGACAGCTCCAGCACCACGCACGACAACATTGAAGACAAAATCCCGAAGACGTGACGGCCGCGCCCGCTTGCGTCGGGGCAGAACCTTCACTGGAGCCACAGTTGGCTTCCTCACCACGAACGGCACCTCCTTCTCTGAGTCAGTCGCACTAGCAGCTCTCTTGCGCTTCAGACGCCCTTTGTCAGACTTAGACTTCTTCGTTGCTTGAACCGTAGGCGACGGCACAGCCGCAGTGTCTACAGTGTCCACAGGTAATTGCTCTGCTTGCTGCACGATCTGCAATGAAATGTCAGCAAGGTCGTCCACTTGACCTTTAAGCTGCACACCAGCAACCACCTGTCGCGCCACCTCATCACCTTCTGCATACTTCATCGTGCACACGTCTACAGCAATACGCTCCAGCGGTCTGGTGCGTCTCTCGGGGTTTCAATCCAACCTTGAACTGATGCGCCACCCGATTAATCTCTTCCATACCAGCGTGGTTGAGACGATTGTGCAGCAAGCCCATGGCAGCACTCTTCGAGACTGTCTTCGTTTTCTCAACACCCAGCACC